CGTGTGCTCTTCCGATCTATTATTCTTTTAATTAATTTTTATGTTTCCTTCTTATTATTATCAATTTTGTATTAAAGAATAATTTTACAAAGGAAAGAAACATATATGGACATATTTTGCATATAATTATATATATAATTATATGTATAATTATACATATGTGGAACATTTTTCCCAGATTACTGTATCGAATCCATATTATTACTTATTTTATTACTTGTGAGGAACTTTTCTGATTTCTTAATTCGGTCCTTGATTTAACATGGTGGATGTGAGCTGGAAAGGAAGATGAAAGTTACCGACACGAAGTGTACCTACTGATTACACTGTGATTACAGTGAACAAACGTGATCTCCATACATGCAACGACGATGCGTTTGACGTGCACGTGACGCGCCTGCGTTCGAAAGAGCCAGAGACTTCGCGCGTCGCGCAGAGTTTCTGCGCACTGAATTTCCCGCCCGTGCGCAGATCTGTTCCTCATCGCTGCGTCCCGCTGCGTACCTTCTGCACTTAAAACGAGACGGGCGTACGACTTGGCCGTTGGTGATGAACGAGAAAGAGTGACCGAAGAGTGCAGAGAGTTGCAGCCGCGAGGAACCAACCTCTTTTCTTATTATCGCACGTGCAGCAAACAACGGCCATGTTGCAGCTCGTTCCTGTCGTCGCACGCTCGTGATCGCACGCCTCGCGACGGACGCGGGACACGCGGGTCGTCGTCGTCGTCGTCCCGGAACTGAACTATCCCGAGTCGCGAGTGACGTGTGTGTACGTACGGCAGGTGTACGCGGTGCAGGGACCGAGTCGGCATGTCGTTCGGTAGCGGCTTCGGAGCGTCCCCGTCGACGCCCGCACCCACGTTCGCTTTCGGCACCACGCCGGCGTCCACCGCGACGCCAGTCAAACCTGGTAAGTCATCCTTCGTCCCCTTTGCGACCGCAGGATCGCCAAGTTTCTTGCTCTTTCCGCACTTGTCCTTTTTTTTTTTGCCTCTTTCCTCCTTATTTTCCGTTTTCTTTCCACCCTCGCAAGGATTCTGCCTCTCTCCTGCTCTCTCCATCGATCATACGGACGTTCACTGTGCGTCCCGCTTCTTTTTTTCTTTCATACGTGGGTACTCGTGTCTCGCGACAGTTCGCGCGTGACAATTTTGAGGTTAGGAACGGCCACTCCACGGCGAGGCGCTTCGTCGAGTTCCGGGTGAAGTTGAGGAGCGATCACATGGTCGAGACGCTCCTCGGGCGCTCCTCTCGCCTCAGTTCCGCGTCGAGCTGGTTCTGGTGGTCGTGTCGGAGGCCTTGTCCAGCAGGGGCTGGTTAACACCCCTGCAATCCGGGCTGCACTCGACGTCGCTTTTCGCGAGGAAGGCGTGCCGCCTGCTCCTGGATCTCGCGATAATGCACGCCGTCACGCAACACATGAATAATATGAACACGAGCGTCGTCAGCAAAGCGATCAGCACTGTCGAACGTTCCGGGTACTCGCCGGCCTCGATCGAGGTGGCCAGGGTGGTGTAGTTTTGATCGAGTATCGCTCGCGACTCGCCGTGAGGTGCGATTTTTTTCCCAATCGTCGTATCCTCCAGATAATACATTTCATTGGGGATTTTACCAAGCGTCGTTATCATAATCTCCGCGGTTGCATCCTGCGTTAAGATAATTGAATTGAAATTGCTGAAGTAAATTGTGTCAGGGGGATACAAATTGTTGTAACAATTGTTACCCCAATTGCTATGTCTGTAGTACCCAGTTCGTTTACAATTTGAGTGGAAAGATCATGTACTGACTTAATATGACGGAGAACGCTGTTAGGCGTGGCAGCTGTCTGTAGTGAATTGTGTGCCAATTGTGCATGGAAATTGGTCTGTTAAAGAAAATTTTTCAATGTACATTCTAATTTTCTGTTCTAATTTTCTGACTTATCAATTGTTAGTTTTTCCAAAATCGAAATAGCTTAGCTTCCTGTTGCTAAATATTACCTGAAGATAATTCTGTTGACCTAGGAATGCCATCTTCTGTTATTTTATGTATTTTATATTATGTGACGTATATTAAGAAAAATTTTATATATATTTTTATAATTGAATTTTTAATTTTTGTATACGAAAGTCTCAATAAGTTATTCCAAATGATTAAGTGTAATCTAAAGGCAGTTAAGTGTCCATGCAGTATCTTCCAATATATATTCCTATATGTAATCACATTAAAAAATATAAGCGTCACATTTAAAATTGTTTTTTCGTAAAATAAGCAACGAAGAATGTCATAATAGCAAACACTTTTTAATTGACATAATTTACCTAACTTCATGTTAAACAAAAAAAACTCACGCAGGCCACAGACTTGATTTAACCATGTTGTCTTCTTACACCAATGGATTTAACAGAAGTGTTTGTTTTGCTGTTTTTGTTGAAAGCGCTAACTAGTTAAAAATTTTTAAGTTGCAGGATTCGGAACACCCTCGTTCGGATTTAGTACACCGACCACTTCAACGCCGGGCCTGTTCGGCTCGCCGTCGACGCAAACTACTGGATTTGGTACCGGCACCGGATTCGGTACTCCGCCGGCCACCGGTTTTGGTAGCGCGCCGAGCACAGGTTTTGGATCCGCACCTACGTTCGGCACCACGTCGACCAGCGCCTTCGGTTCGGCACCGGCCTTCGGTAGTACCCCCGCTTCCTCCACGACCACTGGATTCGGTACAACTTCGACATTTGGCAGCGCTCCCGCTGCCACAACTGGCTTCGGCGGTTTCGGGACAGCGACGACGACATCGACGTTGAGTTTCGGAGGCTTCGGTGGCTTTGGGACGACCACCACTACGACTGGCTCTAACCTGTTCGGCGGATTCGCAAGCACTCCTTCAACGGGTTTCGGCACAACTACAGGTTTCGGCGCGTTTGGAAACAAGCCGGCTACCACGACTACTGGTTTCGGTGGATTTGGAACAGGTAACGCGAAAGTTTTTGTACGTAGATTGAGGCTTCCGATATTGCAATATTTTTCCCCTTTTTATTAATATACTACATATTTGTGCACAGGGACAGGATTTACTGGATTTGGCACTGGACTGACACAGCCTCAGCAGCAGCAGCAGCAACAACAACAACAGCAACAGCAACCTACAAATACTGCGTCAGAAGCTCTCTATAATGCTGTGTTCAATTGTCAGTTGTATAACGACGAGCGAGATAATACCATTGCCAGATGGAATCTCATTCAAGCGTTGTGGGGTACAGGAAAGGCTTATTATTCCGTAAATGCCCCACCCATAGACTTCACTCAGGAGAATTCGTTATGCAGATTTAAAGCCATTGGATACAGTCGCATACCTGATGCTGACAACAACGATGGTTTAGTAGTATTGTGCTTCAGTAAGAAAGAAAAGGATGTGCAGGATGGAAAGCAACAGTTGGTAGTATTTCTCAATGGTTTGCTGGGGAATAAGCCCAATCTGACGGTAACCGTTGATAACGTCAAGTCGACGGGGGAGAACAAGAGTCAAGTGACGATATACGTGTCGGAAAAGGGAATCACCGGTTCTTACAGAAGAATTCCTGCCAACGAATTGGTCGCGTATCTGTCGCAGGTTATGCAAAAACAGCAGTTAGTGCAGAACGGAGTGGAAGATATATTTCCGCTGGTGAAGCTCGATCCGTCGCAACTGAAAGAGTACCTGGATAATCCACCCTGCGCCATCGACGCCAGACTGTGGAAGCAAGCGCAGCTAGACAATCCCAATCCGGAGCTGTACATTCCAGTTCCTATGGTCGGCTTTCAGCAGGTCAAGCACAGGCTGAAGTGTCAAGAAGAGGAAACTGCTAGACATAGAGCGTTTCTGGATATGGCGGCTGAGAAAATACAAGGCTTGCAGAGGCAGCACACGGCCACGCAGGCCCGACTTAAGGAACATAGGCGTACATTATTGGAACTTCAGCACAGGGTTCTGCAGGTATTACAAGCGACTAATTATTTCTCATTAATTTTAATTAATTGGTGATATTTCCATTGATATCAATTCTATTTTTAAAGGTGCTGGTACGGCAGGAGATTACGCGAAAGGTTGGATTATCCTTGCAGCCGGAGGAAGAAGTTCTGACACGCAGATTCGAAGCGATGCATTCGCAAATCAGTGCTCCAACGCAATATAAAGGTAGAATTAGCGAAATGCTTTCTCAACTCAGAATGAGGAGACATATCGATATTCAAAACCAAGAGAGGTATACCATGGATCCCATAGCACAGGACGATATTAAAACGGTGAGAAAATATTCTTCACATTTTTACTCTAATTGAAATTCTTATTGAGTATATTATGTGCAATCATTATATTTTCTATCATTTCAGTACCTAAGTATGGAGCAGCAGGGCATGGCGCAGCTTATTTCGACAATAAACGCCGATTTAGAAAGCTTAAAGATTATTAAGGATGGAATGTCAGAACTTTTGATGAGCCAAAGTATATCCTGAGGATTGTAATATATAATAAAAATTTTTTTCAAATATCTTCTAACTAAAAAAAGATAACGGTGTTTATTAATGTTTGTATAAATTGATCGTGGTTATATATGTGTAAAATACTTATATTTTTCACAAAGCTGTGCCATATTTATTACGCAAATATTCTACAACTTCTTTTCTTTTGTAATCAAATGACGTGAAAAAAATGAAAAAATTATGACGCTAATTATACATTACTTACAATTTTTATATTAAAATTTAAAAAGGCAATTCAATAATTCTTGCTTATTGTAGAGAAAATCATATCTTTTAAGCACATATTACGTATTCCTTTTTCTTTCTTCGTTTATTCGACGTTATACTATTAATGTTTTGAGATATATTTTAATATCTTGAAAAATGTGTTATAAATAGAAGCATGCGAGGCATGCTATATAAAATAAAATGAAATGCATATTGCATAGATAAATAAAGGAATGATTTAATATTGAGACATACAAAATAATAAAAAAGGAAATATTCCACAGCGCACATTATAAATAGAAGGTCTACAAATTGTGATGTATATTTCTATTGAAATCGTTGATTGAAAGTTAAAAACGTGACCCTTTACATTTTACAAAATACATTGATGCTTTTATCCCTCGTGTGTTTATGACGATCAGTACAGTACAGATAAATTGGAATATATCAAAATCATGATTATTAAAAATGGGAACCGAATCCCTTAGTTACAAATTTTCATCATTTCCTATTGCGTCGTTTTCTTTATTGGAATTTTTCGATGACAGGGATTTATTGTGAACATCCTGGCTTATAGTCATCTTTAATAATTTTATAACGGACTTCTTATCCGCATTTTCATTTTCTGCAAGCAAAATGCATTTTGTTATTTTTTTTTTTTACGATTACAAGATAAAACATCGTGTACCTCACCTCCACCTCCAGTAATTTGTTGTTCGAGATGCAATTTTTCTTGCGCTATCTCGTACATGCCTTCCTCTATTGTGCCTTCGCTTAGTAATCTTATTATAGAGACAGGTCTGCAAGAGAATTTTAGCATTTTGAATATATTCATTTTAACAAATGATGGATTTAAAAAAAAACGCATGTTTTATCTTAATTTAAAAATACACTTGTGTAATCTTGTGGTGGTACGTACTTCGTTTGCCCCACACGGTGGCATCGGTCTTCTGCTTGTTTGTCATTGTAGGGATTGAAATCTATGTCATGTATTATAACCGTATCGGCGGCAGTTAAGTTGATCCCCAAACCTCCGGCTCTTGTTGATAATAAAAAGATGAATATACTTGGATCTTGTGTATACTGATTTATAAGAGACTGCCTCTCGGTCACAGGTGTACTGCCGTCTAGCCTAAATTGAATATTAATTAATTCATTAAAATTGACCTGAGGTAGCACGCAAGCCACAGCGATAATTAGTTACAAACCTTAAAAATGTCTGTCCCCTTATAGCTAAATATTCTTCGAGCACGTCTAGCACCATAGTAAACTGGCTAAATATGAGCACCCTATGACCGTCCGTTTTCAATTGTGGTAGCAACTTGTCGAGTTCCTTTAATTTGCCAGCCTGAGGAATAAGTTCCTGGGGCAAGCCGAATCCGGCTATGCTTTTGTATACACGGGTTAATTGATTTATCTGATAATCAGACGCCCATATCAGCTCTTCAAAGACGTACTCCGGATTCTTCTGTTTGTAACCTGGCTCTTTCGCCAGTCTACTCGCTATAGTCTAATGATGCATCGATAAAGCAGGTGATGATTAAGTGTACAAAAAGGGAAAGTGATATAAAAAAAAAGTTGTATTGTGTACATACCCGCAGTTTTTTCTCGTCGTAATAATCGCGAACGAGAAGAGGATGATTGGCGAGTTTTCTCAACTGCATCATCATGCCGGTACCGTTAACATCCGTAATTTCGCTGGCCTCTGCTGAAAATTGTGCGACTAATCTATCGTACATATTTCGCTGCTTTTCGATTAATGCGCATCGTATTATTTCGTCTTTCTTGTAGGGCAGGTCGCGTAAAACTTCAACTTTAAGTCGTCGAAGAAAGAACGGCCGCATAATTTCCTTTGCATTTTTAACTTGCTCTCTTTCGAATAACGGCTGCTCTCCGTTTTTCTTATCTGGTAGTTTCTGCAAAATTTATTCAGAGTATATAAATTATAAATAAATATGCAACAATTTATATATATATATTTATATATACTCACATTATTTTTGGAGAATAAGCTTTTTAAGTCGGCTTGTTTTCCAGCAAACAACGAAGGCATTACGAATATTAATAAAGATATCAATTCCAATAAATTATTTTGTAGAGGTGTGCCAGTCAATAGAATTCGACGTTTAGCCTTGAAAAACAGATTTCGAGATTTTGTTACAAGAAAGCAACCTTCTCACATATTTTCATACATATATATTAATACATACACTAATCCTGACAAGATTTTCGTATCTAACGCTGCTCATATTCTTAAGCATGTGAGCTTCATCGAAAATTACATAATTCAACGGCATAACGCGAAACAGTCTACGCTCCTCTGGAGTGCTACAGATTAAATTATACGTAGTTAACAAAACATCGACATCGTCGAGGTCGCCGTTTCGCCAACCCATTCGCATCTCTTTTCGTTCGTCCTGAGAGCCGTAATACTGAACGACTTTCAAGCCGGGTGACCATCTTTCTAGCTCGTCCATCCAATTTTCTGTACCAGAGAAAGATTTTCGCACATAATTATAAAGACCTTTGCGTGGCAATTAGTGTAAATCTGAAGACGCAAAATATATTACCCATAGTCGAACTGGGAACGACAATTAAATGAGGCCCATCCTTTTCGTCGAGAAGACCAGCTTCCTTCAGATATGTGAGAAATGCTATCACCTGCACCGTTTTTCCTAAACCCATTTCGTCGGCTAGTATACCATTTACGTTCTGTGCATGCATTACAGCAAGCCAGTTTAGGCCAACCATTTGATACGGAGCCAGTGTCAAATTTGACGATAACGTCTTTGGCTGCTCTGTTATGGTCGATGCACCAGCAGCCACAGCTTTTTCCATGTTAGTCGACAAGCGAAGGCATTTTTTCATGAGAAGTTCCACCACATGCCGTGTAGATAGTAATACCTTTATGCATATTAAAAGTAGAATTAATCATAATTATATATACTTTGTTATTGAAAATCTTTTAAGTTCAATGAAAATCAATTTGAATTCTAGCAGTTTAGTCGAAGACAAAATATTATTAATTGTATATATATTAATTCTTTCAAATTTACCTGAGCTGCATTCAATAATTCGGTGTCTAAGTATTTTATATTTTGAAATTTATTCACCAAGTCTCTCCAATCTTCAAACGGTCTTGCCTGTATAATCGCGGAGGCTCTTTTTTGAGAGCATTGAGACATCAAAAGCAGTTCCGAAGGTAGGGCAGTCCGCATAAATTCTAAAACTGCCTTTTTATCACCTGTGAGCTCATTGGATATCTCTATATCCGAATCCTCATCACTGTAAAACAATAATGCGTTTATATCGCGATCGTAATATATATTTAATTGCGAGTACAAATCGTTGCAATCGTTGTGTACCTATTAAATACTTTATCTTTATAATCGCCCTCATCTGAATCAATGTCTACTTCCTCGTCTACATTTAATTTTCTTCTTTTCTTTTTGCTAGTTTTCTTCACTGGATCCTCCAAATTTCTTTTCCTATTTTTTTTAAGCGCCTCCTCCGCCTCCTCGACATTCCAATTGGTACTTCTAAGTACTTCCTGTATATGCTAAAAAAAATGTGATCCATATAATTGTTTGCTGTTATCATGTATATGTCACAATATATGTGGAGTAATTCAGTTTTTCCCTTAATTAGCCAATACAGGTTATAATTAAGTTTTGTTTTCTGACTTGTATAAATTTTATATAAAATTATATCTTATTTATATTTTATATTATGTATCACAAATATGATATTAGAGATACAGATACCCAGTAAACACTAAGTAACAGTAGCATAACATCAATCTTAAAATATCAGACTCGATAATGTGAATTTAATATAATGTCATACGTTACGTAACAATTATATTATTGAGTATGAAATTTTAATATTCATGTTATGTTACTGTTCGTTTACTGTGATAAGATGGAAACGTACATATGTAAAATACAAATTATAAACTGTAAGCCAGAAGCCTGTAAATCATCTTAAGCAAGGCAAAGATTTAAATTAATAAATAAAAAGTAAAATAAAAAAAACATGATAGTTAAGCAATTTTATCTCGAGTATTGAAGATAATTAGAACAGATTCATCTATTTCTAGTCAAAAATAAAAATAAAGTGATAATTATAGTAATTAAATTTTTATGACTGAGAAAAAAATACTTAGAAAATCTGAAAATACTTACTATTACATCGTTCTGTGGATACAAAGTTGTCAGGTACTTTAACTTATTCTCTTTACCTTTGGCGTTACAGTCCGAACTTGGCTTACAATTATTAGTTGGACTACCAATATCGCTGTCACTGTCCTCAATACGATTCACGGGCTTACGGCGAACTTGAGCGTCAGAACTTACCAAGTTACTGTCCTCGTCCGCTGAAATTAGAAAAAAAAACTGGTACACGTCAGGCCGATTATTCATAGTCGGTTCTTATATTTGAGATCATCTCAAATACAATTTTAAGATTATAGTCATAAGTCAATCACGAAATCGTAGCACCTCAAGGCATTACTCGATTAAAATAAAAACGGATTACGAATATCGGCCCACAGCAACTTTACTCGCTTGAGTCGACAGCTAAGATTAGACAACAATTAGTAAAATTAAATATCACTGATCGCGGTATTAAAAATTTGTTATTTGTTTATATAGAGTTTAAATATTTTACTTTACCAGCGTGCGTAAATGTGCAAGGGAAATTGTTTAAAAATCAAAATTAATCTCGATGTTGTTGAATCGCTCAGTTGGAAATATTCGCGAAAACGCTGCCGGAGTACCGTTGGCGAAAAACGGTGGAGAAGCGAATGCGACTGTCAAGGATATATGCACGCCAATTACATCGATTGGACGGGGCAATCAGACAATGGTAAAAAGATACAACGGGTTCTTACACATGTTCATGGTCTTCGTTTGTTTTTTTTGAAAACGGAATCGCCGCAGGAGGCTGGAGCTACTCGTGTCAGTTTTGGGCGAGTTCGAGTCGGACATCGCGTCAGGTCAACCGTGCGAGGGACGCTGGCAGTAGGAAGGCATTTTTCCGGAATAACTTTCGGAATCGTCTGCCAGGTGCATTCGGTGCGGCTCGCCGAGCGCGTCGTTACGTATAGAGAGATGTGTAGAATGTAGATCAGACTGCGGCGCGTCCGGCGGGATAATATTTATGCCTGATTTCCACACGGAGATATGTGCGAAATTCTTTAAACTTTCCGAAATGTTACGGATCGAGCAAGTAACGGTATCGGAACAAGTAAAAGCCAATCGGAGGGGAAATAGAAATGTGCGCTTGAAATGACAAATACATAAACGTTTGTGTTTACACGATGAAAAAATACGGGAGATGTGATTATTATTAATTACGTTCGCGTTAATTCAATTTGCAATTCGTAACTGGTCGAGCACAAAGAAAATAATTATCTAAATAAAAATTAGCATTAATGGAAGAATGTAAAATGCAAAAAAATAATTTTAGATAACTATCCGTAATTATATTATAGTTGAAATTAATTTCCGATGTGATAAGATGCAGAAAAAAGTACGTTTAAAACAAAAGTAATTTAAATTTTTATTTAAAAAATTTTAATTATTAATTCTTTAATTAACACCTTTCCAAATCGTTGCTTTTCGAAAATAAAATTATATAATCTCTCTCTCTCTCTCTCTCTCTCTCTCTCTCTCTCTATGAGTTGACTTCGAGCAAATTTTTCTGATTAATTTAATCGTTTAAATATTATAATTTTATTAAGTACTTCATGATATTCAGTTGACAGAATTAATTTTTGCTTCGCTTGACAGATGGAAGGAAAACTGGATTTAAAAAATTATTGTATACAGTTGCATATATATAATTAAAATTTTGCTGTAAACGAATCTGCGGGTAGAGAATTAGAATTAATTTAATCAAAGTTAAATTAAATTTCGATTTACTTTCGGTGGTTAATTTATCAAGTAATACCCTTCAGTTTGTCAAGCAAAATATTTTCGTTAACATATGTAAAAAGTAGTATTGTTAATTTTTTGTTTAACGTGAAAAAAAAGAGGACAACATATTATATTTCGAAATTTTACTTCAAGCGATTCTGCCTATAATTCTAATTAATCAACGATTAAATTAATCGGAGATTGGTCGAAATCGCTCTTGAATTGATCGGAGCCCTATAGTCGAAGTCCCTCGGGAAGGAAACGCTCCTGGCATTCTACCCGCTGACAGCTGTCACTCGATTGGCCGAGCGCGCGGCGCGCGGGAAAAACGAGACGGCGCGCTCGCTCGCGTGGCACGCCGCTCTCGAGTGCGCGTGATTCAGGGCTGGCGGGCGGTTCGCACACTTGCGCTGTCGTCTGCTCCGCTCCCTCCGTTTATTTGCGTCCGTCGTCTTGCCACGCCACACACGTCGAGCGCGTCGTTATGTTCGACGGCGGATAAGTGTATTCGCGGCGTGAGTCACAGAGAGGATAAGGGTACCGAGGGAAAAAAGTGAAAAGATGTTGCTGTACACGCTGATCGGCGGCTACATGCTGACCTCGATGATACTATTCAAGTATCCCACTCTGCTGCACAGGAAGAAGAAGGTGAAGTTTTTGTGCCAGCACATCAGCCACCGGGGCGGTGAGTCGTCGTTCGCGTCCCTCCCTCTTTTATTTACCATACACGGATTCGCGAAGTCTTAATTAATCCTCACCCGCATGTGAATCTCGTTTTCCAGGTGCCGGCGAGAGCTACGAAAATACAATGTGCGCATTCAAACGGTTAGTGCAAGTATTGTTTACCCCCAGGAACTCCCTCGCCCGAGACTGCGAAAAAGGCATTATGTCATCTGTAATGTCATGTGTCAAATGTCAATCGTTGTGACATTTAATCACCATAAATTACGTGGCAGCATGAAGTATAAACGTTTACATGTGATTTCACGTCAGATACTTTCCTGAAAGTAATAATACAGTAGAGAGAAATCAAAGAATCAGAGAAATTAATTTCTTTTTCCTATATAAATTTTCATAGTTTTATTTTTACATTGGTATTTCAAATCCTTATAAAATATCTGTTTTTAATTACATAAAAAATTATGTAGTATATATTACCATAAAATAAAAATCTATTTAAATTTCTTTATATTTTGGAGTAATAATTCAGAAATTATAAGCTATTAATTTCTAATGTTGTTACACAATTTATTTATTTATGCACAAGTAAGAAAAGTAGCTCCAAATAATATTAGTTCTAATTTATATCAAAATTTATAATGAAAAAAATTTTTCAACTAAATATATTTAATAACAAATGTAGTTAATTACAATATATTTAAATCATAATTCTCACAAATTAATTATTATTAGCTCTTTTTCATTAGAGTAAAATATTCTCTTGACCATCTTGTTAGTTATTTGTTCATACTGATTAATTTTTGTTATTACAAATAGAGTTAAATAATGTCGATATCATATTTTATCAATTGTACACGCGAGTGAAGTCAATTTTCTTTACGATTGCAGAGCAGTGGCTATTGGAACGCAAATGTTGGAATTAGATTGTCATCTTACAAGAGATGACGAAGTAGTAGTCTCTCACGATCAGAATCTCTTGCGTAGTACCGGTATAGATAAGAATATTTCCGAATTGGATTACAAGGATCTACCGCTCTTAAAGCAATGTTTACCAATTGATTTTGACCCAGGTATTGCTATTTATTATTTTAAGAAACGAGCTGCATTCACGAACAAAATTATTTAAGAGTTATAGTTGAACAGATGTGGAGTATATCGGTTCGGCGACGGAAGAGGATCGACGATTTGCACTATTAAGAGAGGTCTTCGAGGCATTCCCCAACATCCCCATTAACATTGACATTAAGATCAACAACGATCGGCTTATATCGAAAGTTTCTGATCTTATAAAAGAATACAATAGAGAGGAATATACAGTTTGGGGAAACTTCAGTGACGAAGTCACACAGAAATGTTACAAAATGGTATGTTAATTTGCTTAATATCTAAGCTTCTATAAAGAGCAAATTAATAGATACATTTTAAAAGTATTGAAATAATATTTTATAAAAAGTAGCAACAGTTGTTATAACAATTTTTTAACTTTATTGTCTATGTTAAGATTTTTTTGTGCTATCATAAATGCTGATATTTACTGTCAGCATTTGTGAAAAACCGTATATAAAGGACTATGCATATTTTTATGGAAAATAGCTTTCGGCAAAATTGAGGCTGCAACTTTGCTTTTTTATTTGATGCTAATTAAAAGTTGATATTGCTACAATCTCTACAAATAAATTGTAGATTTTTACAAGACAAGTCAAATTTACAAAAAATATATCTGATTATTATTTTTTATATAGGTCAAACGTCCCAGAAACATGAGAATAGAAAAAAATAGTGACTTTTTCAATAAGAGCACGTTTTAAATAATTTAATGACTTCGATTCCCTTCTTTCACCTCCAATAAAATGAAAGCAAGAAGTATTGGCAAAATTTTTCTAATTAAAATTACAAACACGTCCTTAGTTCATAAATATTTTTTTGCATGTTTGCAAATAAGATAAAATATATTTATATTTATAAAAAAAACGAATTACAAATTGAGGACATGTTTTTCATTTTAATTGGAAAAATCGTACCGATCGTTCTCCCCTGCCCTCATTTTTACCGGAAGTGAAAGGATAGAATCAAGCTCGAATGATTTGAAACATGCTTCCATTGAAAAAATGCCACTATTTTTCTGCATGTTTCTGGAACGTTTACGTAAGATTTACGTAAGAAATAATAACCAGGCAAGTACGAAATTTTATTTGTAATTTATATTGCATCACCAGGAACGAGATTCTGCAAGTAATAATCACCCAGCGGCATATCAGATAGATTCGGTTTGTATTTATCGTCACAATTAATGAGTGTATAATGATAAGTCATTCTTATCAGATTACATGTTATCAGAGCGAGAATTTAATTCCATATTTATTAATATAAAACTGCTATCATACATACGTCAATTTATGTTACGTAATTTCATCACTTTTCAGAAAAAGTTTAATGAAATGCATTTATGAATTGTGACTATTTGTAGAAATTAAGCTTTTTTATTTGTAGAGAGATTGTGGTAACGTTAATGTTGAATAATATATAAATTATAAAATAGCAAAGCTGTAGTCAATTTCGCCGAAAGCTATTTTCCATAAGAATTGCAAAGAGTTCTTTGTGAATTGTTAATTTTTCTACATTTTTTCTCAATTTTGTTTTAGAACCCAAATGTAAACTTACTATTTTCAATGCAACGTGTGACGATGCTGATACTTCTCATGTATACTGGTTTGTTGCCATTCGTACCCCTAAAGGAAACACATCTGGAAATTTTCTTGCCTTCAATCTACTTGCGGTAATATAACTGAAATGTTTTATATTTTTATTATAATTACAATGGAATTACGCGATAAAAAAAAGTAGTCTCCTGTATTTTGTTTCTAGACGACAAGGTGGTCCGAGTCCAACATTTTTACCGCTGGAAAAGTTGGTAGTACGTACGATTAATGTACTATTAATGAGGCCGTGTTTATTTAATCATTTAAGAGCACGAGGCATACATGTAAGTATATACAATTGCAACTGACGTGTGTTTGATCGTCCGATTGAGTTGTAATATCATCGGCTCATGTGTTTGTCTAGGTATATTTTTGGGTCTTGAATAAAGATGAAGAATTCAAAAGGGCTTTTGATCTGGGAGCAACTGGCGTAATGACAGACTATCCAACAAGATTAAAATTATTTTTAAAGAAACATACAATAGATTGAAGTACCGGGTAGATTTTTAACTAAAGATTACACATCAGATGAAACACAAACTATTGAGAAAATTCGCGGAGTTGTTTATGTCTGGAGGAGAGATATCTGCCATGATAAGCCAGAAGATATATAAGCTATACAGAATAAACAAAGTAGTATATTTTTTATAAGCGAAGCAAAACTATTTGCTTATGTTCCGTGTATAAATGCCAATTTTGCCACAATTGCGACAATTCGTACAAAACGATTCATTAGCGAAATTGTATATACCGTGTGCACCGTGCGCACCGTATATACGCCGCACACAATAGTTTATTATATTTATGGTATTTTACATTAACCATGCGGGTGTCCATTCATTGGAATAAGATTGCTCTGGCCTCGTAAATCTTCCATTTAACCGTCTCTTTCGAATATTTTACTTGATCAAAAAGTATAGTTGTCGAGGCTTTTTTCCTTTCAGTTGAATTGTTGGTTGTGTCGATTAGTTTAAAAGCGCAAGCTAATATTCTGACTATATTAGTATTAACGATTATTTCACGTAGCGTAGGCTACCAAGTGATATCTGTGCATCTAGCGATTTTGTTCCAATATAGCGATTTTTATATAGTAGATAATTGTAATGCACGCTTTTAATTTGCTAATAGAATGCATCCATAGTCTCAGACTCCATATGTTATCTTTATTTATAATCATGATTTATCTTCATATATAATCCAAAAAAGAGAACGAATATTACCCAACATCATTCATTTCTCTTGTTACAACGACTTTTCATTTGTAATACTTTTTCACACTTAGATTTATTGTAAGGAAACAATTCACACACTGTAAGAAAAAGCCCGCATGCATATCTATCTCGATTTTTGGTACAAAATATCTAATTGATTACTATATCTCTCTGGGGCCAGCGTTAACTTAGCCCAGCATTTAAATGCTTCGAATAACACGTATAGTCTGATCTATGGTGCATTTTAAATAAGTTTTAATCTTCATAGTATTTGCGAAGGGAGGACATTTTATGTGAAAAAAAAAAGAGAAAAACTTGAGCTACGCAGATCGTGATATGTCCTTAGTATATATTGGTGTGATATAAGGAATTCCCTTTTCGTAAAAAAAAAAAATGAATGTGATAAAAGTCTGTGTCAGTCTCATATAATATTGAGAAACTGAAGTCGATAAAACTCTATCAGGACTAGTCCTATTGAATCAAGAAAAAGAAATATACGTGAAAATATATTGTATCTAACGAGTATGATATTTATACTGTATGAAATAGTTACAGCATGATAACCGGTATTAACATCTTATAACAACTTAATATATGTGGGACATACTTCACAGGAATTATCATCCTTCATGCGTTGCATCTATCCCTGAAGCATATCCTACATATTAAGTTACATCGTGTATTTGCATACAGGGCATTTTGCAATTGATATAACTCACAATCGATGGATATCTATATGTTGAATATATGTACTTTTCTAATCTTTTAAACGTAGAAACAATATACCGAATAATTAAACGAATATTATGTTAATAACATATTTAACAGCAGCTCACACATTTGTAAACGTGTAAACGATATGACACATCTTTTCTAACTTATTATATGTATATTATATATAATTTATATATTTAGGCTGTTTTTTATATATACTAGTATATAAAAAAAAAGATCTGTGTGTATATGTGCCATTATATATGTATACAATATACATATTCAGATAAAAGAATAACAGTATGTAAGATTACTAAAAAGACGTGGAAGATATCAATATTTATGGTTATAAGAAAGATTATACATTATATGCTGTCTTGTGAGGCAGTCATAAATGTGATGTATGTTATCTTTATTTGACATGTTTATATAATCTCGATTTACCAAAATTATTAGAGAATTTTTAATGATATGTAATTATACTAACAAATCTAGTGTTTTGATGTATTATAGTAGCATAAATGTTCGTTTATTTATGCTATAAAGAAACGTGTATAAATCATTTATTGTACAAATTCTCTTGTTCCATTTTAAATGTTAATGAAAAAGAATAAGAAATGACTTATATGAACTAAATGTTTACTTTAAAGATAAATTTACAAATTTATACACACACATATATATATATATATATATATATATATATATATACACATATATATGTTTCAGAAAAGTATTATATTCTGTATGTTGAGTAGATTATCTATTTGTGACTATAAGTGTACTTGAAGAGGGAAGAATTAAATAAATAATATACCAAGTTTTGTTAAAATTACTTGCTTCTATTAAATAATCAAAGTCTTATAATGTATAATTGATATATCGAAAATGTTTTACAATGAATGTTAAGTATAAAAAAATAAACGCAACTATGTACAAATTCATGTACCTTTGTACTTGAAATTAACATTTGTGTATTTGTAAAGCTCAAAGTTTATAATATAAGTTTTCATTCTATGATAAATAATTGTTCCTTTACCCATATAAAAATTATATATATAAAAATATAAAAATCGTATACGGGGTAGGAAACACATATTTATTCATTTCTAGCTTCCAAATTTCTTCATTTTTTGAGCTTTTAAATTTGTTCCTTCGACAAAGAAAAAAACATCGCAATTACAAAATAAATTTATATCAGATCTAGAAATGATCACGTTTAAGAATCATCTTTACATTTGTATTTTGTTACAGCATTTTGTACTAGTATATAACATATTAGTATATAACATATTATAGTATATAACATATATTTTATTTTTCTGTTCTATTGTTTGCTAATGATGATTATCTTAAATTATATCTAATATCTTTAAAGAGTAAAAAATATTATGTCAAAGATACACATTTAAAAAAAAATAAAATAAAATTGCAGATTTCAATCATTATAAGAATTAATATTTTTTATATTTATAATGATGTACTGATGTGTGATGTCAATACGACATACGAGTACATAAAAAATTTATAAGAACATAAATAAATATATAGGAAATTTAAAAAGACAAATGACTAATATATCATATCAGAAAATAACTTTGGAGTATTTTGTGTTTATCTTATGCATTATGGAATACATAGTACATTAAATGCATTATATTGATTATTTATAAATGCAAGTATATTATATATATATATATATAT